CAACAACTATATATATATATAGATATATATATATATGTATATATAGATATAGATATGTATATATAGATATATATGTATGTGTGTGTATATATATATATATATATATATAGACAAACAGGCAAGCTGAACAGATGTTCATGGAAATGAGAACTACAGGCAGGAAGTAGGGAAAACATAATTTTAATGTGGGGTCTTATAATTAATGTTATGAAACAAAATGTGTGTAAAAAACCAATTTACTTTATAAACTCACTCAAATCACAATACAGAATTTAAAACAAAAATTCTGAGAATAGTAACATAAACCCAGATCTATCTACATGTTCTCCCTATTAAAAAAAATTTTTTTTGAGAGTTATTTACTGGTGTCCAAGTATTTTGTCCCTAAATTGTTAACAAACATGAAAACAAAACCAAGGACTTTCTTCTGCACAGCCTAATACAATTATCATACTGTGGGAGTGTAACATGAAAGCAGTGCTATATTGAACATATATATGTATATTATAATTTCTTTTTTTTGAGACTTCACATATTGCATTCAATTATCATGTTTTCCTAATTTCTTTTAATCTAGAATAGTTTTTCAGGATAAAAAAAATCTTCCATGATTTTAACACCAGTTTGTTTAGTAGAATATATACAGATGGGTGTTTTTGTAATCATTAGATTGTTTAAATAATTTTTGACAGTAATATTACCAATCTTCTCAATGACTATTCTAAGACAGCTCTAATTTATTGAGTGACTTTTAAATATGATACATACATTATGTCATTTAATCCCTGAAATAACTTTGAGAAATAGACACCACTATCCTGAAGACAGAGGGCTTTCAAATTTCAATCAACAGTCAGTAAATCTTCATGCTAGAATTGAAATCCAGCTCTTTCACTTCACAGCGTTTGCTTCAAATCCTGGTTTCATTGCTTACTTTAAAGAAGTAATTTCTGTACTTAAGCTTCTTTTATAAAATAAGGAAAAGAACAGGCTTGTAGGATTTTTAGGAGACCTGAATAAAATAGAACTTCATAAATATTTTTACAATTTTGGGGAGCATTTGAACAATCAGAGTACTTGCCAAGTCATAAAACTTGATGCCATCACAAACTTTATCCATTCATTGCCAGTGGTATTGGTGGTGCTGTTCAGTGCCGTTGAGACGAGTACAACTCAGAGAGTCCCTATGAACAAAAGATCTGAACCCTGCTCTATCCTGCATAGATTAGCCTATTAGTGTCATTGCTTTAGTATGGGCCAGAAGTTGGCAAACTACAACCTACAAGCCAAATCTAGTCTGTAGTCTGGCTTTGTAAATAAATAGTCACAAGCCTTAGTTTATGTATTTGTGACTGTTGCTTTCAGTCGATGGTGTATTACAGTGATGCTGACAAGGTTTCAGCACAGCTTCTAGACTAAGACAAACTAGAAAGAAATCCTGGTGATCTCCTTTTGAAAGTCAGTCAGTGAAAAATCTGTGGAGCCACAGTGGGACAGTCTGCAACCGATGGTGAAAACCAGCAGAGGACCTGGTAGCATTTTGTTACATGGAGGTGAGATTGCCATTAATTGAGGACAAATCTGGTGGCCTAGTGGTCAGAAGCCACATTGTCAATCTGAAGGTTTAAATCTACCCGCTGCTCTATGAGGGGGGTGCTGGAGACACTCTCCTTTTGTACAGTTTACAGCTTCTGAAGATCCACTGGAAGGTCAGCTATGAGTTGGTTCTGATTCAACCACAACAACGACAACTACACAACAGCACAGGTACTTTCACTCTGCAATGGCAGATTGAGTAGTGATGACAAAAACTATATGACAGCAAAAAATGTATTGACTATCTGTTCTTGTGCAGAAATTTGTGCTGACACTGGTTCCCTAGAGTTCCTATTGGTCTCTCTAGTTATACTTCATTAGCCGGCAACTCATTATCTCTCTCACCTTCCACACAAGGGAGAAGATCTCTAAAATGTGAATCAGGCATGCCAGTCTAGTCTCTAAAAATGTTTCATTGAACACAAATACACACATACACACAACACTAGCTTCCACTTACTCTGACAATTTCCCCCAAACCATGAGCATTTCAGTTTGCATGCTGTTCTTTGGGTCTGAACATTCACTGCCCTAGTCTTTAGTAATCAGTTAAAATTTTATGTCTGAGAAGCTCTCTCTGTCTCCCATGGCTAGAGCCAATAGCTCCTGCCTTCCTGCGGCTTTTATGTACTCCAGTTGTGGCATTTATTCTACTCTATGTCAATATCATGCTTACCAAAAGATCGCTGATTTGAACACATCAGGCACTCCACAGGAAAAAAAAATGAACTAGTGATTTTTTCCCCCTCTGTAAATATTAGCAGCTTAAAAAATCCTGTGAGCAGCTCTATTCTGTCCTATAATGTTTCTAGGAGTTGGAATAGACTTGATGGTAATGGGTTTGGGTTTTAGTTTTATGGTGATCACAGGCTTAGCTCTCTGCCTCTCCTGCTGCTGTGAGAGCCTCTGGAGGAAAATGACATACCTTGTTCATTTTTGTATCTCCAGTGTCTTGTGTCAAAAGTGGCCCTTAACCACTGCCCGTTGGGTTGTTGTTGCTTGTTGGCGTTTGAGCTTGTGGGACTTTTGTTCTATTCTGTCCACAATTTTCATAAGTCTAAGAATGTCAGTCATATGACCTTAGCTTTGGGATACACTTGAAAATCCCATTGGAAAAATCTGTCTTCTTATGGAAGTTTTTTTACCTGTGGAAAAATTTTGGGATGGACTGATTTGGGGCCCTTCCCAGCTCTGCCTTCACCTTGTTGAGGTAAGGTTTAGAAGAACATTTGTTTTCTTTCCTGATCTACAAAACCAGGGCAGAACTGTTTATTTCTTGTGCTTTGGGTATCTTCTCTCAATAAAATGGTAGAGGGACCAAGGAGGAATGAGCTCTTACTTGCAAAGCATGCTGGAAGTATCTTTACATGGTCACATACAAGTAGAATGTCGTTTCATTAATGATACCCAGAGATTAGTTCTGCCGTTAAGTCTAGGACTCCGAGAACCAAAGGGTACACTGTTTGGAGAAGGGCAGTGTGTAAAGAGGTTGGTGAGCGATGCCTACGTGACTGGATAAAATTGGGATCTGGGGGGAGACCTGCTCTCCAGGAAATTCTCCAGGTCTCCATTTAGTTCTCCAGATCTTCAAAGTGAACACCAAGCTTCAGTTTCAAGTTGAGTGCATTTTTCCATCCATGGATCGGCTTGTTTTGTTCAGTTTTACTTTGAGTGTTTGAGGTTATCTGTTCGACGTAACTGCTAAACCCACGGCTTCCTTTCTCGTAAAACCAAAACAAAAAAGGCTTTCTATTCAGGTGCCTTCTGTGCGCGCACATGTGTAGTGCATACCTGGATCAAAGCCGACTATATAAAGTCCTTGATTCTGTGTGGGTTCAAACACATTCAAAGCTTCGGGATCCTGAAAGGTTTCACTGTGCTTCCTGAAGCCCGGAGCCAGCTCCCATAAAGCAATGGCTCGGACTGGATTCCTCAAGTGTGGGGTTCAGCTGCACTGGCCCAGGACCTGGCCCTGCAATGCACTGCTTTCTCTACTCTTCATTCCCATCTGCTCCACAGGTGAGTGAGGCTGTTGGAACACGAAGGTGGAGGAGGTGTTTCTCCCATTTGGGTTTCATTTCTTTCAGCAGTTAGGGGCTGTGATTTTTAGCAAAGCCATAAATGAAAGATAAAACTCTAATCTCCCAGATTGAATGGCTCTGGAAACAGGATTCAAACAAGGAGACACTATATGAGCACAGCACAGTGCCAGATAAACAGTAAGTATTCTGAGTATATGTGAGTTGGTTTGGGAGAAAATTGGTATGATCTTATGGTATTTTCTTTCCATCTTCTGTAAGATGGAATATATATTAAAGTGAAGGGATTTTCAAGGGAAAAGATATTCAGTCTTGATAGCTACTGCTTTTTAAAACCAACTTAATAAAATAATGGAACTGGTTTATTTACCACTTAAGTCAAGACACAACATCCTCTAATTTAATTTTATAAATTTACCATCCAACTTATTTAAAATGTAAATAAATTAATGAGATGAACTTACTTTTTTCTCAATACCAAGCATTATGATCCTACAAATAAGTTAAAGAATTACTCTATAAATGAAGAAGGAGGGTAGGGTAAAGGAAATGGGAAAGGTCTGGTGGGAAAAACCAATGTATACAAACTTTTTAAGTAAACCAGTAGAAAAGAAACATTTATTTAAAAAAACGTTTATGAGAGGGCAACTCAAATACACACTCAGAAAAGCAATTTGAAATTTAAAGAACAATAACAACAACAAAAAACAAAGTATATAAAAGGGGGCGGGAATGTGGAGAGGAAGGAAGGAGAGAGAAAGTGAACCATCAGTCTATTCAGGATAAGGTATTTAGTTTCTGCTTGATTTACAAGTGGTCATTAGTTACAGATTTCTGTTTTCAGATGAAATAAAGCTCTTTAGAAATGAGCACCAGATTCATTATGTGGTCAAAAATGATGAGCATTCCCAATGGTTCTCAATCTTATCATTCTCTCTGAATCTTTTTAGTTGGGAAACTATGTGAATTTGTGAAGTAGGTGGTCAAAAGACATTAGATACTTCAAAATCTACTGGATAAAGATTCACACACATTTTCTGATTTTACGTGTTTGAACATACTAAAGGAGAAATACTTTTAGAAGAAATTCAATTTCCTTCTTAGGAAATTGATTTCAATGTATAGTTAAGATCTTTCCATAGGAGTACTAAGGAATCGGGTGTGATTGAATTTAGTGATGCTAATTGGGAGCTTGCCTGAGAGTAGGGCAAGACGTTTGATCTTACCGCAGTCCAGAGTTAATGCAATAAAAATGGTCGAGTGTCCAATTGGACAGGATGTGGCTACTGCTGCAAGAAGTAGAGGATAGGGTAGCTGCTATTAACATATACACAAAAACCTGCAATATAGGGAATACTTTCATTAAATAAAGCAATGCAGTTCTAAGAGTGCAAAGGATACTTAGGTGGCAGTGAAGGTGGTTCCACGTAAAGCAATCAAGCTTCAAGGAGAAAGTGGCGTTGGAATCAGACTTGAAAAGATATTGACAGGAAGAGAGGAAAGCTAGGGAAGAAGATGCTTGTCTCACCAAACCAAGCTGCTGAATCGATTATGCAGGGACTGCTGCTATATTGCTCTCTCTTCGGAGGATGGAGGCTCTCAATACTTGGGTGAGAATAAGTATGTCTTTAATACAGGATGATATATAGATGCGTAGTGTCATTTAGTCTAAGTTTGGCAATTATAACTGTCACTTGATTAAGTAAGAGCTGGTTTCACGATAAGGCAGCCAGTCTGGGGACGATGTTATATAAAGCGGCCGTTTTTTAGATTATTTCAGTCTCTTTACATGGAGTAAAGCTGACTTCCTTATACTGTAGAAGCCAGAAGAAAAAGAACAAAGGAACATAAAGAGCAGGCGGAAGAGGTAATGGTGGTGGCAGGGGAAGCCCATAGAAGTTAACAGTAGGGTTGCCTCGACGCGGGGAGGAAACGACCTGGTGCCCTCCACTCTGTGGCTTCCTTTACCTAGCAGCATCCTCATTCTGTGTTAATAATTCCAGAGAAGAGTAGTCAGGCAGTGAGCCTCCACTCAGCTGCTTATTCCTAGGTGATAGGGGTAGAACTCAAAACCCAAACACATTGTTGTTGAATCGGTTCCTACTCATAGCAGCCCTCAGTTGGGTTTCCAAGGCTGTGCATCCTGTGAGGACACTGCCTATCTCTGCAGTGGATCTTCTGGTGGATTGAAAACACCAGATACATGCAGCCTTTTGATTAGCAACACAACTCCCTACAGACTAAAGCACCAGAGCTCCCTGAGAGAGGTTCAGGACCAAGAAAGAAACAGAGATTCAAGAAGTGCACATTAAGGGTTAAGGCAAGATTTCATACTCGAACATCCAAAACTAACCTTGAAAATGTTCTATTATGTTATAATGCCAGAGGGAAGCCTCTTTGATCTTATTCCTCATTTACTATATGGGAGAAAAATGAAAGTCACAGAAGTGTGACCTTGCCCCTGTGATTTTTCACAGCAGTGCCAAGTCTTCTGTTCATAACACTGTTGTTCCTGCCACAACCATCTTCCTTTCCAATACTATCTCCCAATACAGTTACTATTTCTCAATAAACCCAAAACTCATTGTCAATTGAGTAAGAACCCATGCAGGCAACTCTCCTGAGAGTTTTCTGTAGCTGTAATGGCACAAGAGGAGATTGTCCATCTTCGTCCTGTGGCGTTTCTGATGGATTCAGCCTGCCATGTTATCTTTGTGTGAGTGGCACAACTCCCTATGGACTAGAGTCTCTGGAAGACAGTAAAAAGCCCTGAGAAGAAAAGGTGGCGAGGAAGCTGGGATGGATGGCAGCAGGGAGTGAGAAAAGAGGGTGATGGGTTTTGTTGAACTGGAGAGAAGGACACTGGAAGGTGAGATGAAGGGTCTCTATCAAAGACAAACCTTCCTTGGCTTATGATTTTTGCCAGGGACTGGTGAGGAATTGCGTGAGTTCATGGAGTCTCCTTTGTCTTTTCTGTGCTAGCACTTCACGTGTCCCAGCCTGCAGTCCTGCTGGCCAGCAGTCAAGGTGTCGCTAGCTTTGTGTGTGAGTACGAGTTTTCACACAAAGCTGAAGAAGTTAGGGTGACGGTGCTGCGACAGACCAACAGCCAGCTGATTGAAGTCTGTGCCTCCACGTTCGAAGTTGAGAATGAATTGACCTTCCTAGATAATCCCACTTGCACTGGCACGTCTCGTGGCAACAGAGTGAACCTCACCATCCAAGGGCTCACAGCCACAGACACAGGGCTCTACATCTGTAAGATGGAGCTCATGTACCCACCACCCTACTATGTGAGCATGGGAAATGGAACACATATTTTTGTCCTTGGTGAGCAAAGCCGTTTTACTAAGCTGACACCTTTCACACTGCTTCCTTCTTTGCCTGAGTAAAGCTTTTCTCCTTAATTAGGGGTGGTTCATGTTTTGACTATGGAAACTCTCTTGGTTCTCTTTAAGGGAGTGCGGTCATTCTACATAGTAATCTCAGTTGATGTGAATGAGCCAAATAGTCTTCTTACCATAAAATAAAATGGGTTGAAGAAAATATTTTTCCTACTGGTAAATTGAGGAATCACTCCAGAGTGATAAACATCATGGAGTTTAGTTTTGTGCCTTTGATATGACTTCCTTGGAAGTGATCCCAGCTAACCAGTTTACCTATGGGCTGGCCATACTAGTTAAATATCAAGGTGTAGGAGTTCTAGTTTCTTTTTTTCATCAGTGGGGAAGGAAGACTTTCACATACATAGCCTGTCTTCTGGACGCTCTGCTTTGCTTTCTGTTGCAGACCCAGAACCATGTCCTGATTCTGAATTCCTCCTCTGGATCCTTGCAGCCATCAGTTCAGGGCTGTTTTTTTATAGCTTCCTCATCACAGCTGTGTCTTTGAGCAAAATGGTGAGTACAGAGCTGGTGTCAGCCTACCACATGCAGTGGGAATACTTTTCGTGATTTATCAGTTGACCAAAATGATGGTGCTGAGCTTAATTTTCTTGAGATGGAGCATTAAATACGTGCTCAAGAGGAAGGCCAGTGGCAGAGAACACACGAGAATACACTTGAATCCTTGGCATTGGCATTGAAGCTTTAGATGAGTGTATTTGACATTGAGTGTTTGTGTGCTTCTGAACAGGGTTTCCGTTTGAGTCACTGTTTGAGTAACGTGGGGGAGTTGATTTGCTCTTCATCTTCCTGACAAGTGTACCTCAGTTTGTAACCCTGAAACACAACTTAGGCTGGGAAAGTGCTAATAAAGATGATCACCTGGGTGGGTTTTGTATTTTCTCTGAATGTACCTTTATTTTAATTGGGAGATATCACTTGGTACCACCCTACTTGTGCCTCCCTTGTCCAAGCTGTCATCTGCCATAGAAATAACACTTCACCAGGTCCTCTCTTACCCAGTCTGCTTAGCTGAATTATTTGACCTGAACGTCCAGCCTTATTCATGTAACTTGACAACATTTGGTGGGTGTGGAACGGGGAGAGGTGTGGAATCAGGATTCTGACAAACTTTTCTCTCTGAAGATCCCTCTTGACCACCTCTGCCTAAGTCTGACTTTGTTATCACAAAGACTCTCTCCCTCTCTCTCTTTTTTTCAAACTCTTTCTCTTTCCCTGTGTCTCACACGCAAGCATCCTCTGTTCCAAGACCATCTCTTCAGCTTGATGGCAACATTCACTTGCTCTAGGTTCTTTCTTTCTGCCTCATTTGCCATTAATGGTCACACAGACTAGTAGACTAGACCTCAATTTACTGAGATGATAAAAAGTGGGACTAATGCAGTAGAGAAGTAATAATAAAAGGCATAGGGCGAATGGAGTTGAGAAATACAGCTTTCAACTAACGTTTATCACCTACTCATGCTTGTTCCATCACAAACTCCAGTCAATTATTATCAGTGTTTTGTGCTATTTCTCAAGACTCTCTAAGCCTCTTTCTCTTCAATTCCAGTAATGGAAAGCAATTGCTATTTTACATCAATGGCACAGTTATTTTCCTAAAATGAATTTTAACAGTGAAATCAAGGAAATATCCCGGGGCTTATAATTCTGTATGTTGTGAACATTCATTTTTGAAGAGGCAGGGATGCACTATTTGTTGAGCTCCTATTATAGTTAGATGTGATTTCTGTGTTCTTAAATAATTTTTTTTCTTGTGTTTGGCAGCTAAAGAAAAGAAGCCTTCTTACTACAGGGGTCTATGTGAAAATGCCCCCAACAGAGCCAGAATGTGAAAAGCAATTTCAGCCTTATTTTATTCCCATCAATTGAGAGATCATTATGAAGAAGAAAAACTATTTTCCAATTTCTAAGAGCTGAAACAATTCTAACTTTTTGATATCCAGCTATTTTTGTTTGTGTATGTGTTTTGGGAGGAGTTTTTTCCCTCTCTTTAATATAAAGCTGGATGCACACCCCAAATTAAGTGTACTACAATTTAAGGAAAATAGAACTGGCATGTTTCTTTCACATCAGATACAATTTTAGTAAAAGCATCACTTGGGAGCAACATGAAGATACAGCATTAACAATGTGAGGATCAAAGATTAAGTTAGGTAATGATGTAGTGTGAAGAAAAGGAAAGGCATCCACCTTGCATTTACATATGGGAAGTTTATAACGGAAATTAATTTTCAGTTCCATTTATCTTCTGTATTATTATTTCCAACTAATATATAATGATGTGAAGACTTTGAAAATACATGGCTATATGTTAGCCAGTAATGCCAAAGGTTGTATTGTACCAGTATGCATCCTCTTAGTTGATAGTATTGTACATGGGGCCTCAGGTACCTTTGTGTATTTGCTGATGGTTTGAATATAAACACTATATGGCAGTGTCTTCTCATCGTGGATCCAGAGAAAGTTTTGTGGAGGGGCTTAGGACACTAATATGCAGGCAGAACAAAGTCACCGCCAAGTGACTCGGAAACGATGTTCATCATATACCACCGTCATCTGCAGTGGCCTGGAAACTGGGGGAAGTCATGGCAAGGCTCCAGATTCTTGCAGATCTGTCGGACTGAATTTATGTGGACATGAAGGTGCTTTGGGCTTTTATGCCAGCTCCTTTTAGCGGACAGCATGGAAGCGAAGCTGGTGGTATCTGAGTTAACCTGACAGCGAAGAGGAAATGGCTCCCTCCAGGAGTTTTGTAGGTTTGCACTTCAAAGGAAGTTTCAGGGGCCCCATTTTCTGACCAGTAACACCACCAATGAAAGCAAGCAGTGGGTGGCAGCATGAGGTGTAGACATGTTTCTGAAAACTAACACTGTTGGTGTTTTTTAACTCATTATTTTCCATGAAAATGCAACAACATGTATAATATTTTTAATTAAATAAAAATCTTTGGTGTTTGTGATGTTGTCTTTATCTCTCTTGTGTTTTGTTTTCTATTGTATTCACATTCATTCCTTCAGCTGAAGTCTCCAATGCCAGAAATACTGGGAATCCAGTTTTAGAATTCAAAGGAGGCGGAGAATCCACAAAAGGGTAAAGACTGCTTCCCAAGTCACCGGTGTACTAAGCCTTTACCTGTAAGCTGTTTTTGAGGGAAATCTATCCTATTTTGGGTTCCCCCCCCTTTTGATTCCTTCACCAGTATTGGCATTTAGAGGGGGTTAGAACAGTCAGAACTGTCCTTTACAAACACACAGCACGCTTTTCAGCACCTTCCATCTCCATTTTCTTACTCACAGCTTTCACAGCTTGACTACACTGGTTTATAGTTGTCATGGCAACTCCAGTGTTGTCAGCCCAGCCTTTTTCAGCCATTTTGTTCTGCTTCTAAGGCCAACAAAGCTTTCTCTCACCTGTAGCTCTGTGTTATTGCTTGCTCGCCAACTTGGGCTTGGCCCACTGAACCCTCTGAGATTGTTGGTTAACCAATATGAACCCTCAGCCTGCTTGGTTTCCCCTTAAGGTTTCTTATTTTGACCTCCACATCCTGTTATTGTCTCCTCATGCTATGAGGGACCACCTGTAGCTGAACCAACTGGATCACTTATTTAAAATGCTGATTGTAGGTGCTCAGTCTTAGATGCACCGACATACAGTTTTTGGGTGATGGGGCCAAGAGTTTGTAACAAGCACCCCCCCCCCCCCCCAGTATCTCTTAGGCCTTAAAGTTTAAAAAGTTCTACTTAGGAATCACCCATGAACTAACAGTCAATCTCTGTCTCTCTTTCTCTTTCTCCCCCCTTTCCTCCCTCCCTCCCTTCCTCTCCCCCGTCTCCCCTTTCCCCAACAACAAATGGCCACAAACAAATGAGACAGTACATATAAAGCATTCTATAAAGATATGTTAAATAAAAGTAAAAAAGATTTTTTCAAAATAGAGCAATTGCTATTACCTGGAATGCCTTCTCCTAATGTGAGAAAGCCTGCCGTCTTGCTGCTTTGGTTTCAATTTGAAAGCCATGAAGACAGACCACATAATGAGCCCCAATGGATGGTATGAGTCCTCTTTTTCTCCTCCAATGTCTTTAGAAAGATGACTCTAGTTCATAATTTACGTCAGATCTAAATGCCAAGATCTTAAAGATCTTCCAGGTCGCCTTCTTTGACAGCCAGTCTGATACTAGATTGCTCGACATATGCCCTTAGTCTCCTCTAGGAATCCCTGGGTGGTGTAAATGTTTAATGAACTCTACTGCTGACATAGTGCATAGCAAGTTGTGCTGCTAACCGAAACGTTGGTGGTTCAAATCCATCAGCAGCTGCAATGGAGAGAGATGGGCAGCAGTTGCCTCCCTTAAAGATTTACAGCCATGGGAACCTGGTGGAGGGTCGCTGTGAGTGTTAGCTTTGACTTAACGGCAGTGAGTTTATTGGTAACCGAAAGGTTGTAGGTTAGAGTCCAAACAGAAATGCCTTGGAATAAAAGCCTGGTGATCTACTTCTGAAAACAGAAAACCTTGTGAAGTGCAGTTCTATTTTGATATACATTAGGTTGCCATGAGGTAGAATCAACTGACCAGCAACTGATGCTGTTACTAGCAATAACCTCCTGGTCTACTATTTGAAATTCTACTATTAGTAATTCATTGAGTTAAGAATTGCCCTCTTCACTCTGTAATCCTTAAAATAGAAAGCATTTAACTCAAAACATTTACCAGATAATTTTTCCCCCCATGTGGCAGCAGAAATGAGCAACAAAGGTTGAGCATCTGGCTTTCTGCTGAATGGAGGTAAAGCAATGGTGGAGTATAAAGATGGGGTGGAGGTGGCTCTGGGCATCAAATGGAAGCCTCTTTAACTCCCTCATTCGTTTATGAGGCAAATCTATAACCTTCAGTACTGAGAGAGTTGCATTGTTTCCAACTCAGAGGGCTCACAGTCTCATGGACCCCTTGGCTGTGATCACTACTGCCTTGTAGAAGCTGAAGATTTCATTGATCAGAATGGAGCATGGCCTACCATAAAGTCTAATATGTAGCCATCGTCCTTGGGTCCACTCATTCCAGACAGGAGAGTGAATGCATGGCAAGGGGGCGTAGAATAGAGGCTTGGAGCTGTTCAGGTCACTCCTTCTTCCTACCAGCCCTCAGTGCATCCTCTGTTCATCGCCCTTGCTTCAAGAGTTTCCGTGATTCTGTTCTTTCCCATTTCCCTAGCTCTCACTTCCAGACATCTTGATTCCTTATTTTTACATCTCTTGAGATGCATCTCAGATTCTGCCTGCTGCCCCAGATTCTCTGAGACTTTCAGCCTAAATGGATTTATTCCCTTCTGCTTCACAGCTATACTTGGTTTCATCTCTAACTATCTCAAATGTGCATGTCTTTTCGCCCTCACTTGACAGGAATTTCTCCAAGACAGTGATTATCACTGTTTTCAGACCATAACAGATGCTCAAATAGATGAAGTTGAGGCGCTAGGAGACTGGGACGATAGCTGTGTTTCCACAGCAGTGGCTTCAACCTGACCTCCTTCCAGTCTGGTCCACAGGATTGTGTGGAAAACAGTCTACCTCTTGGCCTCAATCTTTAAGACTCTGGAATATGGATTCTAGCTGTCTATTTTGCCCTACACATTCTACTTGTTCTATCTTGACATACTTTAGATCGCCACGAATTGGAATCAACTGAATAGCAATATTGTTACTAGCTGGTACTTGAAATATTTCCCAGACTATTACTTATTAGTCTACGGACATTGCAGCAAATGTCAGATGGATCTTAGCAGAAAGCAGAGAATACCAGAGGAATATCTGTGTTTCATTAATTATGCAAAGGCGTTTGGCTATGTGGATCACAACAAAATTGTGGCTGTCTCTGAAAAGAACGGGAATCCCAGAACACTTAATTGTGCTAATGCAAAACTTATACTTGGACCAAGAGGCAGTTGTCAGAACAGAGCAAGGAAACACTGCATGGTTCAAAATTGGGAAGGGTGTATGCCAGGGATGTGACCTATCTCCATACCTTTTCAACATGTATGCAGAACAGATTATCTGGGAGGCTGGGCTGTATGAGGTGAAGTGTGGCATCAGGACTGGTGGTAGATTCATCAACAATATGTGTTATGCAGATGACACAACCCTGCTCGCTGAAACTGAGGAGGACCTGAAGTGCTTGCTGCAGAAGGTCAAGGATTTAGTCCTCAACATGTATTGAATCTGAACATTAAGAAAACAAATATTGTCCCCATTGGGCCAATTGGAAGAAACATGATAGATGGAGAAGTGATTAAGGTCATTAACCGTTACAGTTTGCCTGCCTCCACAGTCAACACTCTTGGCACCAGTATCCAGGAAATTAAAAGACATATTGTGATGGGAAAGTCTGCTGTTAGGAACCTCTCTAAAGTACTGACGAGAAATGGTGTCACTCTGGAGACTAAGGTGAGCCTGATACAGGCCATGGTCTTTGCTTGCTATGCATCAGAGAGCTGGACAATGACCAGGGAGGATAGAAGGAGAATTAATGCCTTTGGGCTGTGGTGTTAGAGAAGAGTATTGGATATGCCATGGACTGCTAGGGGAAGAGACAAGTTTGTCCTAGAGAGGGTTAAACCAGGCTGCTCCTTGGAGGCAAGGATTCTGAAGCTCCGTCTGATATACTTTGGACATGTTGCAAGGAGGGACCAGTCCTTGGAGAGGGATATCATACTTGGGAGGTGGAGAGACAGTGCAGGAGAGGAAGACCCTCTATGAGGTGCATTGATTCAGTGACTGGGGTAATGAGTGTGTGTGTGTCAGAGATAGTGAGATTGGCACAGGATAGAGCAGGCATTAGGGCGGTTGTACATAGGGTCGCTATGAGTCACAG